TTCACTCGCAGAGCAAATCTGGAGGTGAAAATATTTCTCAAGAAATACAGTATTAATGCCTGTTTGAGTCATTTTTGCCTAAGATTAAAGTATGGATTTTATGGAAGCGGAATGTTGGTCCATGACCCAAGATTTATGTCTTCAGAAAGAGCTAATGGTTTGGGGCTGGGTGCAACAGACAAGCTGGGGAAGCAAGAAATTACTGAGAGACTGTTTTGGTCTTTTCATCTGACAGCAAAAATACAGTATAGAATATCCTTCTATACTGTATACTATACTGTCTATCAATATTTTCATATTAACAATAGGTCAAATTACTACGTGTAATGTGAAAAGGGGTTGTTTGGTGGTTCCCTAATTCTGCCATTCTCCTCAGCATTATACCACATTTCAGCTATTTGTATGGTGTTCTGTTTTGGTTCACTCTCACCAACCTCATCATTGTTGTTCTCAGCCATATCAGGCAGCCCCAAAGACTTATTTTAAACAGACACTGTAAGGTTTCCACCCAGCCCCAGACACCAAATAAAAAAGTTAGCGACCAGCTGTGCCTAGTAGCTAGCCTCAGGAAATGGTGGAGACAGGTTAGCAGAGCTACAGTAAAGGCGAATTCATATTTGATTCATCAGGTAGTCAATAACATGCCTGATAATGATGCTAAATGTTTGCATGATTTGTAAAGAGGCTGTTTACGTACACATTTGTAGCATCAACTTCATAAGCTGATAAACTGTCAACTGTTAAACTGCCATGTTAATGGCTTGTTGCTCTGACCAAAAGTTGACAAAAAATGAGTTAATGCAGGGTAAATATTTAACTCAAATCACAGTTTGCAAAGGCAGAAGAGTACACGCACTGAAGCTGTTTCAACTTTTGGTCCCTTCTTCTACACCTTTCTGGACACGCACCGAAAATCCCTGGCATCCCCTAATTTCATGCAGCAGAATTTGGCCTATAAACAGCACTTAAATTAATATCATGATGTTTCTACTGGAGATAAAATAGCTTCAGTCGGCTTCCTGTACTGGCAGACCTTTACCTGGCCTCCCTGCAGCTTATCAGGGCAGGAGTTGCTCTTGGCAGCACCTGCCGTGTGACAATGATTCCATTACAGCACACGCAGCGCTCTACTTGTCTCCCCTTCTGTGTGTGTGTAATGGAAATAGCAGTAATGGCTTAGTGTACAGTGAACTGTGTGTTTCTGTATGAATGTGTCAGTCTCTGCTGTGTGGTGCAAAACATTTTACAGCATCTGTGCAAAAGTGCCAGGGTCATCCTTTGATGGAAGACCTTGCTTAGACGTATCCGAGGCCTAGTTTTGCTCCGATTTGAGTCAGAACCCTTGCTGCATTCACGCCTTATGTGTGTGCATGTACTGTTGTGTATATATGTGTGTATTTTCAGACCTGTTATAGACTGTGAGCCTGTTCTGAAGGAGCCACAGACAACAGTCCCTTTCTGATTCAATTACCACAGTGAGCAGAGCTGAAGGGGCAACACAAGGCTAGGGGACAGCACGGTCTGTTTCACACAGGCTTCCTGACACGGGGGTTGAACAAAGAGGCCTATCAATTCTGGAATGTGCGCTTACAAGCTTGATTTCACCTTTCTGTCTTTCTTCCCTAAAAGTCTCAGAGCTTTTACCACATGCCTTCCTACAACCAACATCCCTGAAGTAATATCTAATCCCTCATGTGTCAGAACCCATCTGTAACAAATTCACTTTGCAGGAACTTGCCTTACAGTTCTTTCTTGGTCACTAATACAACAGGAGTGATGGTGCATGCTAATGGAGAAGGTCCGTCATTTTCTGTATGTAAACCTATGTTTTGCAGAGTTCAGTCATCATGTGATAGCTTATGAGACTACAGTACATTCATTTAGAAATCTTAGTGTTGCTCTGACTTGTGCTGCAGTAAATGTCAGTCCAATTACATTTTTTCAATGTTCCCCTCATTTACAGTTGTGAGCAGTGACACTTCCTGTTTCTCTTTTTGACTCTTGCTCTCGCTTCCACTCATCATGTCTGGTGTGACAGTGCTGGCAAACTGTGATGTACAGGAATAATGATATTTGAGTTCTGGCCTCCGGTGTCTAATGGAAACACTGAGCTGCTTTCACACTGCCTTCCTCCAACCTTCTAATGACAGCTGTGCCACTGATATAAGAGCAGTGGCTGCTTCAGACATCACTCATGCTGCTGGCAGGTGGCAAGCAGATACATTCTCTTTGTTATTTGGTCCTGGTTTACGTCAGCAAACTTGCAGCAGCAACCTGTGAGGCTATGTGACTCATCTTGTCTTTTATATGGAACGAAATATTCAATATCTGCTTGATTTTCGGTGACTAACAGCACAGTGACTTCATACTATTGCAGTTAGAAATACTGTACTGTTATGTCCATATTATGAAGGACTGGGTTTAGAAATTCGTGGAGCGTAATTTAGCCTGGATGTCACCCAATTAGCATAAAGTTATTTATACTTCTTATTATGATTATTTATACTTGCTCTAAGCACCCAACACAGATTACAAGACGCTGAGGCCTGATGTTGCTTTCAAGCTCTCCATCCTTGCACAGATCATATGCAATTCACAGTGATAACAATGAAACTCTGTTATTTTTCAAACAATGATTCACTGATTCCAAGAAGCAGACAAAAGCAGTTTCTAATGTGTCGCAATTGATTTTGCCAGCTCAAATTACAGCCGGTGCTGATGGATTTTATCAGCTCTACCTAGCTAATTAAGCTAACATTAGCTCCATGAGTTGCCTGGAAATGCTGTCTCAGATTTTAAAATTAAAACCTTGCAAAAAGGTCTTCATGCACTCGGCCTTTATACATGTTATGGTGCAAAAAGGCAGAGGCTAAAGCAAAAAGTCATAATCCTCACCAGCAGGGTGATTTACGGTATGTAGAAAAATGTAGATACAGCATAAAGAGTGTTCTAGATGTATAAGCAGTGTATATTTAGTCCTTGTACATGTAATAAGGGAAATGTAAATCAGACTGTTTTTATTTTACATACTTGGAAAAGGCAGAGGTTAGATGAATGCTTTCTTAATGCTTTATTTTGTTTTTAATCTTACAAGTGTCGTACAAGAGAAAAGTATTTTAGGAAGTGGATTTACTGATGTGTTTGGCAAACTTAAAGGTGCCTTAGGGAATTCGTCTGTAGAAAGGTTACTGTATGTTTACATTTTGTGTTATTTACCAAAAGACATTGTGTGTGTGTCCTTGAGAAACAAGTTGCAATTTGCATTTTCTTCTTCGTAATCATTTTCAAAGCTGATTGAAGAATATAAAATCTGGCATTGTTTATATCCATGTTTATTTGCTTTACTGCTTCTCTGCCTTTGCTGGTACTTGGGTAGCAAATGATTTGTCAGTGTTACTGTTGGTTACTGTTGTAGGTACTAAGCTAGACATTTCACAGTCTTAAGCTTATATCAGAGCAGGTAAACACATTTTAAATAAATTCTTATCTACATTTTTCTCTGTATTTGGGTATGGAAATGCTAAAATCTCTTCAGATTCTGCATATGGCACACTGATGTAATATGTGGAGAAACCCAAAGCTCGAAAGGCCTGTCATGCCTACTGCGAAGCAGTGATTGGGCAATCACTGTTCAGGGGAGTGGGTTAAGCAAACACTCATAATGATTCCATTAACACATTTAATGGGTAATTAATACTAACTTTTTTTATTATTGTTACCCTCAATTGCTTGTTCATCAATCAATGTGTAATAATGCTAAAATGCAGTACTGTCCAGAGTGACGTTTAGCGAGGTGTGACAAATTTCAAGTATGTTTCATTCCTGAGTTGCTCAAAATGTGGCCTTTGGGAATCGCTAAGCACTGAGCTTCTGGTAGCAGAGTCCATAAGGCCCTTGCAAATGTGTATCCTGACACTTTAATTTGAACCATGCTGCCGCCCAGGTTAAGAAAAGCACAGACTAAAAACAAAATGAAGGTCCTGTACAAAGTACTACAGGAAAAGCCATAAAATGTATTAAGGGGCTTTTATTTTGTTTTGTTCTGCTTTCTGCTGTTAACAGGTAATTGACCTGCCACAGTGAATGTGTTTACATGAACATGAGTATGCTGGTTATTAAGTGTATCCCAGTTTCATCATATGTGACATATGGTGTTTACATGGAACACACAGAAATCTGGTTATGCATAGCCTCATATACATCATAAAAACTAGTAGTCCGGTTACTGGTAACAATAACCATTAAACAACTTAATGCTACCTGGAGTTGATGTATCGCCTGTTGGAGGCTCAGTATCAACTAGTCAGGGAAAGCCAATGTCAACAAGTGGATGTCATCCAATATTCTGAAGAATTTGAAAGCTCCTGCAGAAGACCCAGTTCTTTTGCTTTGATTTGGTCACGTAATAGTTGTACTTCAGGATTTTCTACCGTGATCTAACATGTTCCAGTGTAAGCTACAAGGTGGGAAACTATCCCATAACATGTCTACTACAGATTTGAAGAGGTTACTATTTCTATGTAAATTATGGAGTACATTTAACTTTTTCATTAGTAAAAGACAAATTCTCTTCACTTCTCCAAAAGTGAGATGCTTTTGCCGTAGCCATTGTTTGTGTTTATCTTAAGCAACTTGGATGCTGCTGCTGCACCTGCGCAGATAATCTGGAGCGTTCAGAAACAGTATCCTGGTTTCTTTTTAGAGTTCTTCACCTAGAGTATTCGGGTTTCCCAAACTGGAAACACACTTCAAAAACCTAATCATAACCAGGGTACTCATGCTCATGTGAATGCACTCAGTGTTGTTTTTAAAAATCTGATGACTGATGGGTAAATCACAACTTTTGCTGAGGTTTTACTTTTTGGATATTAACGTAGCCAATACTACCTTGACATTCTGGATGCTGGCAGACAGTGACCAAATGTTATCTGCAGTATTTGGTTGGTTTGTTGGAGAGTGTTGCTGCTTGCTGAAGTAACACAGTGTGTGTGTTTTGGCAGGGTGCGGCTAGAGGCCTTCTCCGACAACAGCGGGAAGCTGCAGCTCTCTCTGCAGGAGATCATAGAATGGCTGACAGCCAAGGACGAAGAGCTGTCAGAGCAGCTGCCCATAGGGGGCGATGTGGAGGCTGTCCAGCACCAGAGGGAGTTTCACCAGGTAAAGTGGGTAATGTTGCTTTTTTTTGGTGCAAATATGGAATTCCACAGTTTTTCTTAAGATAGAGACACCTTTAAACATCCATACAAAACCACGTGTTCTCAGATAAATAGAGCTGATTCTGTAAAGGCATAGACAAAAAAGTCCTTTACACAGATGTATTGTGTGTGTGGCAGAAGGGACAAGTCTCTTTCTCCAGTGCCCTTTTCTCTCTTTAAAGTCCTATCTCTGCATCTATATGGGAGCTGTGTGAAAAATATATTGAGAGTGTGCCCAGGGTTATGTGCTATGATCTGTGCAATGCGTGGGATGGCTTTGTCATTGAGTCCTGATAGACTTGGGGCTGGAAGGCCAGTGTTAAGTGGGTGAATATGTTGTTGCTGGAGACAGTTAGTATGGTAAAGAAACTTGCTGTATGGAGCAGTGCCTTTGCAGAGCAGCAACAATAGTATAGAACAGAACACAGCACTTGAGATAACAGTGTCTTTGCTGGCAGCTTTTATAGATGCCTCAGATATTGATCAAAGCTGAGTGTATTGTTTGGCTTGAGTTGATATCACTGATATTGATGGAGGTGTGGCTTTTTGTACTGCAGTGTGAGCTGGGAGTGCCAAAGACTAGTTCCAACAACCAATCTAAAACCCTTTTTTTTAATACTATACAATAAGGGCTTTATCGAATCCTTAAAGAAAGGGAATTTTAAATGCAGTGAAATTAAATAAAGCATTTCTAATTGTATATCAAGCCGATATTTTTGAGGGTTTTTGTTAAATATAACAAAACCCTTATTTTTCCCTTCATGTAAAACAAAGTATTTCTCTGACTCATGTTGGACCAGGGGTTGTATACATAAATTCATCAGCCACTTTTGAGCAATCCAGCCTGCACATTCTTCATGTTTCTCCCTGTGCCGATTCCTACCTGCGTTCACTCACTTCCTTCGCCCCGCTCTCTGGTCAGCAGCTTCTTGCTTAGTTTCAAGAATGGACTTGAGTGTTTCCTTGCATCTATCTATTGGTTTTCTATTGCTGTGAATTATTCCTAGCCTGCCTACTAAAGTTGCTTATTTTCCTTCCCACCTCTTTCTGCATTAGTGCGTCTGTGCCTTTTGCTTACTCTGACTCTGCACCGACCACAGTGTCCTTCACTTTAGTCTTGTTATCTTTGCTATTAATAAAGCCCCATTGTTCTCTTTCATCATCTCTCTGCCTGTGTTTAGTTCTAAAATGATAAACAAATCCTGACAAGGTTGTTAACATTTGAAGTAGATGAACTAAGGCTGTAGCCAGCAATTATTGATAACCAATTATTTTCTTTATGAATCGAGTGATCACCTGGACTATAGAACAAGAAAATCCAGCCCAAAAATCATGGGTATTCAACTTACTATAATATAATGCTGGTATGACTATATAATTCACATATTTGTGAAGCTGAAACTTTAAAATGTTTCATGCCTTTGCCTGAAACATGACCTATAGTTAATCGATTATGGTTCAGATGATTCACTAATTTGTTATTGACTGATCATTGCAGCGTATTGAACAATACGGGGGTAGACAGTTTTAATTTGAGACATTCAAATGAAAGCAGGTTTTGTGTTTTGCACTTCATCAGTGACTCATTCTTTCATAACAGTTTAACCAGTCTTCTTGACTACATTCTTATTCACAGTTGTGGCCTGGGGTATTACTGTAGTTGCAGGAAGGGCTACACATAGTGTACAGACGCACAGTGTGTGCAGTACAGAATTCACCGTTTCACACAAATAAACACATTGATTACACCGAGCTATATGAAGATTGACCTGTATGTTTTTAAATAAAAGCCACAAACAAAGTTTAACAACCATCACTGCATGCCAAATATTAAACAGGGAAACGGAGATGCTCTGATTACCCAGCTGACAGGACTGGCTAGCCATTTAAATCGTTTTGTTTCCTTCAATATTAAAGTTAAATGCTCCAGGGGACACCAGTTAGACTTGCTGACAGAGGAGTGAGCCACCTTCTCCCCCTCCTCTCAGATCATTTCTCCATGGTTCAGTGAATTGAACTGCCCTTTAAATCCCTTCAAGAGCTTGTGTGGATATAAGGGTGCACAAGTTCACAAACTCACAGACTGACACCTTATGATAATGGCACAAATCAGCACTTGTCTGTCTTTTCAATAAATGTTTTCATCCACCTATTGAGGGCAGGGCATCAGTTCTCCTTTTAAAACCTGGGATCGTAATTTGACTTAAATTGCTGGTTGTCAGTTGACTCCACAGGACATGTCAGGAGCTGGAATGACAGGAGCTGAACAGCAATTCTGGGTCTATTAATTTTCCCCTTTCAGGATCACAGACCAAAATAACATTTGCAGTATACAATAGGCTTATTTGAGCCCTGTATTCTTACCCACAGACATGTTCTTCTTCATTTTGTATCCCAGGCATGTTCTGAAGTCTGCGTTGTCCTGTACAGTACAGGCTGTCCTTGATTGATTTTAGTTTGATTGCCCTTGTTATGTAGGTGGACCATACAGTACCTCATTGTGTTGTTGCTGACCAGAAAGCCTCTGGTAGCATTAAATCCATATATACAGTCACTTTGCAAGCTCTTTTATGTTGTATCTTTGCACGATGACGGAATAATTGGAGAGTGTTTCATTGTCATGTCAGTAATGTTTGTTTTATTGATTAGATCAAAAGAAAATAAATGACTTTCCTGTGTGATTAAAAATACCCACTGGAGGGACAAGAGCAAAAATCCCAGGATCTCTTTAAGGAAGAAATCCTTTTAATTGACATGTTATATAGCCCTGTGCTGAGTTGGTGCAGACTCTCATAAAGCTGGGACAGGCAGGAATTGCCTAGCAGGCACGTGTGTGTGTGTGTGTGTGTGTGTGTGTGTGTGTGTGTGTGTGCCCGTGCGCACTCGTCTTGCTGTTAGACTCATACTAATTGTCAGCCTGTTCAAAAATAGCTTAGACAACAAGCAGAATCTGATATAGTAGCTACAGTAAATCATAGCAGGAGAAAAAGGCTTGAATTATTAATTTTGGATTAAACAATATTGAGCACCAATGACGTCTAAATCAAGAAAACAGTAAAGATTGAAATTATAGCATTAAAATGTATTTGAAGGTGTGTGCATGTGTGTGTGAGAAGGGTAAAACTGTTACACTTCATGCTCTTCAGATTCTTGCCCATATGTGACAGGAAATATTTGGTGAACTGGTACCTGCTCGGCTTGTTCTTTCATTTCCCAGTAAATCCCTTTAGTGGATTTAGTGGATGATGTATCTCACAAAGAGGGACTAGTGTAGATGTACACACACACACACACACACACACACACACACGCACACACACACACAGCTTCTAGAGTACTACAGCCTATATTCATACATGCTTGTAATTGGTTCTGTAACTACAGCAGAGTTTCCCTCTCCACCCTCTTTCTAATTTTCTGTGGTGTCAGTTTGGGCAGTGTCTATGAAAGGTGACTTTTATCGACATTGAGAGGTCTGTGGTTTCTACTTCACCCCACCGCAACTCTCACCTCAGCTGGTGCTGTGTGAAAACAGCCCATCAATTAACACAACAAAAAATAAAACACTTACACTTCACACTTTCCTGCAGATGCTTTTCTCCCTCTTCCTCTCCCCACAATTGCAGTTTCCTCTTTTCACAACAATTCCCCCAAATACTGAAGGTGTTACTTAGTGATGCACAAGACTCTGACCACTCACCACCACTATTCTTTGATTTTGGGCATAACAATACTGTAAGTTTTGAAACTGCAGTTTTCATAATCTGGGGATATATAAACGGCAAGTAAAATAATACAATGTAATCACTTATTTAGCCAATAGCAAATTGCTTCATTAAAAGTATGCTGAATTAGCAATTAGCAGCTTCTGTTTGCAGTATTCCTACGGATGCATAGATGATTATCAGTGAATTACTTTTATACGGGATGAAACTTATCAATGTGGTTATTCCTGAGTGCCTTTATTGATGATGGCTAAGCGGATTTGCAACCGACATTGGAGATAATGATATCCTCAGAAGTGTAAGTCATACTGATTGTAAAAGTATATGTCTCTCGTCTGTGTGTTCAGATTTGTGAGAGTTAAGACTGTGAGAGAGAGAGAGAGAGTACAAGTTTTGGCTAAAAACTTGTACTCTTTCAGGCTAAATTAGTGCGCCAGACTACAGTAAACACCTGAACCTTGTTTTTAAAGCACCTGTTTGTGTGTCACACGGTATCTAAGCCTCATGTTTCCTTTTCTGTTTGCAGTAGCTTTCACTGCTGAGCAACACCATGCCTCCTCTCCAAGTCAAATGTCCCGTTTTCAGCACAGTATGCCTTTATGATCTGAGATGCCGCTGCATCTGGTTGCTCTAAAACTTTTCCAACAAAGCAGAAAGGAAAATTGCATCCCACTTTTCTATAGAGAATTAAAGCGTTTTAAGAAAAGTGAATTACTGATCTTATGTGGATTCAGTCTGATGTCATTTTTATGTGCGAGATAAGCTGCCTCTGTGCTACCCTTCTTGTTGGTGTGTGTATGTCGTCATGTGTATTGGTTTGGGAGCATGTTTGCTGTATATGTAATTGGGGAGGTTTGTGTGGGAAGACATGTTTCTGAAGCTCATGTGGGTATTGGGTAAAGTTGGTGGGATTTTGTGTGTCTAGCAGCTGCAGAATCTTCTGTGCCTCAAGCAAAAGGGAAAATTAAATGAAAACATATCCTTGTTGTCAGATGCGCATTGAGAGGGACCATCCGGAGGGAGGAGTAAAAGGAACGCCATCATGTTTAGACGAAGTCAATGAAGTCATTTGCTGCCTATCACTCCTTTTTACTGCATGCATAAAGTATCTTAATCTGATCTGAAGGCTTCGCTCTTAATGTTTCTTCAACCAAAGATGAAGTGTCTGAGTGTGAAATTTAACAGGAATTATAGTTTTAACATGTCAGCTGGCTCAGAGAATCCATGGCTCTGCTCCTCTCTGGGCAGTGAAGCAGCTACGTAGAGGATGGCAAGAATAGACAGAGAGATGAGAAGGAGCCAAAGGAAAATGTGAGGAGGGAATTTGTTTGAGATTAGAGAAAAGAGTGTGGCAGAGGACATGTTTTCTTCATGACTGTTGCACCAGGAATCTTATCTCCTGTCGTGGCTCCCCCACCGTTACACACATTTGCGTGTTTGCTCTCCGCCGACCGGTGTTTGCTGGTGGGAGCATTATGTTTAGCTCTGCTCACTGGGTGTTATCATGCCTGCCGAGCTGTGCTCCTGGGGTTTTTTAATAGGCATTGACACTCTGTCATTGCTACAACCACACAGTGTTGCTAATTCCAACTAGTAATATAGTTTTTCATCTGAAATTATAATTTACTCATACTATAAGAGGATTGAGTACACTGGTTAAGTAAATTATTTTGAAGGGAAGGACTATCCCTAATTCACACACCTGCAGTAGGCTCTATACAGAACAAAGATTAGTGTAGAAGAAGAAAGAAGGCTGACATGCTGGCTTTTCCTCATGACCTAGGGAGACTCTGGGTATCTGGCATAAAGGTGTGTGTGTGTGTGTGTGTGTGTGAGAGAGAGAGAGAGAGAGAGAGAGCTCCTTATCTGTAATTTCCATAGGGAGCGCTGCTGAATGTGGACCAGTCAAACTGGGCTCTCCAGCTAATTGGCTCTTCTTTGCGAGCAGGCCAGCTAACCAGTGTTCCCAGTAGATTTGATCCCCTATAGTGCCCTGGGCTCTAAGCACAAGCAGGCTGCCTTGTAATCTCTCATATGGTTCTGCCAATAGATCGCTGCCTGTGTGTGTGTGTTTGTGTAGAGTGACTGCCCATGTGTTGTAACCTACAGTATATATTCAAACAAGCCAATTTTATGTCATATATGCCATCAGGCTCACAAGGCTTCCATTTTAGATATTTATCCAAGTGAAGCCAAAAAACGCAGCCTTTTTTGTTCAGAGTTTGAGGACCAAACATCTCAGCAGCCAACAATCCTGTCTGTTCCAGTAGGTTTAGGCCATCCTTATCACGGAAAAAAATCGTGTCACTATATTTTATGTACCTGGTGTTTTCGCTCAGGTGGTCACTGAAGTAGACCAATGAAAACCCACTGCGGGATGTAAATAATAGGAGTTGGACATAAACCCTTGTTCTTGTTAGCAGCCTGGATGTGTTGTGAATCACTGGGAAGTTTATTTCTGCAGCATAGAAATACAAATTTGTCTCAGAGAGTTGTACGATTTGTAAGAATACGTCACTCTCCATCAATAGACTCTTCAGTCAGATAAGGACAAGTTTTATCGAGTTTAATCATGTTATGGTGCAGTATATACTGTAGGTATGAAATGGTTTATATTAATATCCTTACACATGTACAGTATGAAGTGTCTTTCTTTCTTTGTTGGTCATGTGACCACACCCACCTTTGGTCTTATCAACTTTCTCCTGATTTGTCTTTGGTGTTTTTCTGCTACAGTAGCTTATTTAAATTTGTAGAATTAGACAGACACGTGGATGAAACTTTTCTGTCACATTTTTTGACTGTTACAAGTTGACAAGGACTGTTTGTGTACACCTAACTGTTATTGTACTTATTGATTGATTTGTTGATAATTTTTCTGAGTAATAGATCAATTATTTAGTTTAGAAAATGTAAAAATAGCAAAACCTGGCCATCACAGTTTCCCACTTTTCTCGCTGATATCTTCACATTGTGTTTTTATCTAAGTCCAACACCCAACAATATCCAATTTGAATATGTTTGAGAAGCTGGAACCAGCCATTTTCCTTGATGAATTTAATTTGTTAGATCAATACTATTTAATAGTGAAAATTGTTTATTTATTTTCAGTTGCTTTTTCTTTGTACAGCAAAGTCATCTTCTTGGAGAAGCAGGCACAGGTTCAGCTTAGACTACAGGACTTATCCTCCATGGCTATTGGGAAACCACTTAGGTCTTTCATTCTCTTCTACTGTTCCATCTCTGTTTGTGTCGGCAGGCATTCGTGGAGGATGTCAAATCTCGTGGGCCATTCATCTACTCAGTCTTGGAGTCTGCCCAGGCCTTTCTGGCTCAGCACCCCTTCCAGGAGCCAGAGGAGACCCTCACTGAAGGAAAAGGTCTGTTCCTTTCGTAGTCTGTGCCAGCTGCTGTGCCAGCCAAATATTATACTCGCAGACCCCCACAGCTGAAGCCCAGAGTTGGTGTGTTTGGACTCACTGAGGTTAAATCTTGCATTAGTAGTTATTAGCAGTGGTCATGCTGAGTTTTGAGAAAGATTCAGGGTCGGGACCAATTAGCTCTAGTTCGCAGGCTATTCAATACTATCTGCTCAGACCAGCAAGCTTGGCTATTTCTCCACCGACACGTCCTTTTTAATGTTTGGTCCTCACCAGTGGATGCTCACCTGGGGAATACTGTAGCACTCTCACCTTACTGTGTTCTCATTGGGTCTCTTGTTTTCCCCCCATCCATTATCTTTGCTCTCATGGAGTTGGTATATTGTCCTTTTCCAATCATTGCTCTTCTTTGTCTGAACCCCTGCTCTCCTTTCCACATTGTTATTTCCCTGTCTGGTCTATTTTTTGCTTTCTCCGTTGCACCTTTACCCTCATACTCCTGCTTGACCCTCTCTAACTTCTTCCACCCTCTGCAGAGGTGTCTCCACGGCGGCGTATCTTGAATGTGAGCCGCTCGGTGTGGAAACAGGCGAACGTGGCCAGTGACCTGTGGGAAAAACTGACGGCACGCTGCGTGGACCGACACAGGTCAGATATTTTTTTTTTAATCAGGTATATCCTGCTCAGATCATGTGCGGTTTCTGCAGTGATGCAAGGTAAATGTATTTCTATTGGACGGCTTGTATTGTTTTAGTCCACTAGATTTCAGGGATAAGATGTCATTCCTTTCAGTCCCTACGCTGACAGTATCTGACAGGTATAGTCATTTTAAAGATTAGGATTTTACATTAAAAAACACATAAGCTTATAAGATACAATCCATTTCTTTCCTCTCCCATAAATCATCTCACAACCAATCAGATTTATCTCATGGCCCTTTGGAGGGGCCAGTCCCATGGGTTGGGAAGCACTTGTCTAAACTACCAATTATACTGTAAAGTAGTTAAAATTAGCTCAACAACAAAAGTAAAATACTGCTTAAGCACTGATGCATTAGTGTTAACATCCTAATATGTCAAATTTATCACTGACAGGGACTTTTTTCAGAACGAGTACTTTTACTTTTGATACCTAATGTATTTTGCTGATAATACTTATCCATTTTTACTTTAGTATGATTTTCAATTAGGATTGTGGAGAATTTTTACATTGTTGTAGTAGTACTTCTACTTAAGTACACCGTAGGACCTGAGTATGTCTTCCACCAGTGGGTTTCTGCACTCTGAGTATTACAGTGAAAGGACAGGAGCTTTTGAGAGTAATGATAATGCAAGTTTTGTAATCTTTTGTAATCTTTGCTCAGAATAGCAGCATTTTTGTCCTCTGAAAGCATTACCATTCTAGTTTGAGTCATTGTTTCTTAAATAAATTAATGCATCAACATGGGCCACATAATTGCCAGAGCCTGCTTACAAAATGTGGCATCTATAAGTCATTATAGAAAACATTTATACATTTGAAGATCATTAAAAATTCTGTTTTCTTTTCTGAATATTAAAACATGTTTTCGAGTGTACAACATTGGTGTAAAAATCATTTTCCACATAGCACTACGGAAATAGTCTATTAATTTTAATAAATGATGTGTTTAACTGCATGCTCTGTGGATCTTGATTTGGCTTTTTGGCTGTTGCCCCAGATTTTAATGGTGCAGGTAGTTAACTGTAATGAATTACAATTTTAACAAACCCCTCCAGACACATGGAGAGGACGTTGGAGCGTCTACTGCAGATCCAGGCAGCGATGGAGGAGCTGACGGTGGCCCTGGAGCAGGCAGAGGGGGTGAGAGATGCCTGGGAGCCTGTCGGAGACCTCTTCATCGACTCTCTGCAGGACCACATAGATGCTACCAAGGTAGACATATATTCTCATTTCCCTCCTTTTTATCGCTGTCATACGCACACACTTGCAGACACATTATCATGAATCCCAAATATAAATTTGTTTTACTTGTGGAGTAACTTAATTGTCTCCTTTGAGATTAGCGCCTCTGGCTAGCACTGAAAAACCTTATATTGTGACACTCTGATACCTTGAAAACCAGCATCAAAACCTTGGCATACAGCTTGTTTTATTAGAGAAACACAGCTGCAATATGTCCAACAAATGAATAACTTAGACGTCTGTATTGGGCTGTGTTGCCTTACACTGTTTGTTTTGGTTGCCTGTGTACACAGAAGCAACTACGATCTGACAGATGATGGCAAGGACATAGCACTTCAGTGAGATGGCAGGGGTTACAATCCTCACTTGAATAGATGATGTTGAACAAATGGCAGGTCATTGGTTTAGTCATTATGGAGTGCTGAGTGTTGCTGCTGCCTGTAATTGTGTGGTACTATCTATTAGAAGTGAGGACACTTCACAATAATCATGCTACTGTTTGGACTCCTGTCACAGCCAGCAGTCCAGCTCTGTCAGCTGGCCCCATCTGAGTACGCCCTCACTCTCACACTAGTACACAAATGCAGTGGTGAAAGAAGAACTCGGATGACTTACTTAAGTAAAAGTAGCAATACCACAGTTTGAAAATACTGTTACATGTAAAAGTCCTGCATTCAAAATGTTATTTAAGTAAAAGTACAAAATTAATATCAAAATGTACTAAAAGTAAAAGTGCTCATTAGGAAGAATGGCACAATTAACATTAATGCATCATATTATTGGATTATAATTATTGTGTACATCACATTTAATGTTGCAGCCGATAAAGGGGGAGCTCGATTTAACTAGCTCATATGCTCACAGTTTGAATTACCACTGGGTAGTTTGTAAATTTTCCACTGGAGATGAATAAAGTCTGATTATTTTTATCAATATCATCCTGAAAAGTTATAAAATAGATTATCAAATAAAAAAGATTCAAGAAAAGTACACATACCTCAACATTTTACTGACATGCAGTATTAGAAATATACAAAAGCAAATATGTGGATGAAAGCAAATAGGACACAATAATAAACACGCATTATGCACATTTATATCCACACATACCTGAGTGCAACTAAACATTGTTTTGAATATAGATTAATAAATCTGGTTTATAAAATGTCAGAAAATAGGAAACTGCCTATCACAAAATCCCAGGGCGACCTCATTAAATGTCTTGTTTTGTCCAGCTAACAGTTCAAAACCAAACTGTATTAATTTAATATAACATAAAACTAGAATACAGCAGCAAAGCCTGACATTTGAGAAGATATTCTTCTAAATGGTTAATTTTATTTCCTAGAAAAATCATTTCATACCGTGTAAAAGATCATAAATTGTTACTGTAGATCATCCATTAGGGTAACAACAAAAAAAAGCCTTAATTTGATCTCCAACAACGTCTTCTCCTTGTAAATTTTTTGTTAGTTCCTAAACCCCGTGAGCATATTTGGAGAAATGAGGAATTAATGTCCTGCTGTCCAAAGAGCCATTTGGTGAATTCCATACCGTGTAAAAGATCATAAATTGTTACTGTAGATCATCCATTAGGGTAACAACAAAAAAAAGCCTTAATTTGATCTCCAACAACGTTTGTGTTTCATCATTGTTTTAATGTGCTGTAGCAGGTTATTCCTGCATGAATTCCTAATCCCTAAAATACATATGACCTCAGGCTGTCCTGGGGCTGAGTTTGCTGAAGTTCATGCCATGCACTTCACTAGTCTTGAAAGGTGCCTTTCACCTCAAGCTTTTATTTGTGTGTCTGCTGTGTGCTGTCAAATAAAGACATCAGTTTTCAAAAAATACAAATACTGTAACTCTATCAAACACATATGTAACAGTCACATTGTTTATTTTGTTGCTCTAGTGTTAATTTCAACTTAGGTCTGGAACTGTGAATTTGTGAGTCTCAAATCTACAGCAAAATGTTTTCACACCCGAAGGAATAAAAAACTCATTACCTACAACCGACTGTGCAAAATGATTAGTAAATAGACTTACACACGCTCACACCCCGTTGCTGTTACGGTGTGTCCTGTGTTAGGCATCGTTTTCTGTATAAATTCCCTTGTTTTCCTCTGTGTTCACATTTAAAATCTACAATAGTACTCCAAAGGTTTGTGCCGGTTCGATATCACATATTCTTTTCACTTTGATTCAGGAAATTACTACATGGTTGGTGTGGAATAGTTTCTAAAACAGAACTGAAAATAAGAATGGATTATGATATTGACTTTTTAAAAATATTTTTGGATGTTTACTTTCTCACTCTGCCTGGACCTGATATTTTTCTGTATTTATTATGTTTTGTATTGCATTGTTTTCTCTTTCTCTCTCACACACACTCCTACAGTTATTTAAGGAGGAGCTGACCCAAGTAAAGGAGGGCATGAAGCACATCAATGATCTGGCTCACCAGCTGGCGATCTCCGATGTCCATTTATCGATGGAGAATGCTCGCACCCTGGAGCATCTCAACAGCAGATGGAAAGTGCTTCAGGTAGAGTTCACTGTCGGGTCTGTGTTGGCTGTTTGACACTGTCCACAGCAGCCTCTCCAGTCATCAAATTCAAGGGAGACATTAGAGAGTGACTTCATGTGCAGTGTTTGTTCTAATGCAAGTTAAGGGTTTATGTGGTGCTCCAGTGGTGCCTACACGTCAAGCTTTCAACTGCTTTATACCTTTTAATATCTTTCTGAACTTGTGAAGGACAATGGTGTGTTTTAGGGGAGGCGGTAGGTGTCTGGCACTAGTGTCTCCAGCACATTATTTTATTCCAACAGCCTTAACACACGTCTGAGTATGAACCTTTTTTTTTCTGACAGCTGGTGTTTTTCAGTAGCATTTCAGTCTTGTGGTGAATTAAGCTCACTGTTTTTACCGCACTCACTAAAAGGAGAAAATCATTTTTAGATAATTTGATTAGATATAAGGTATAACTTCTGGTCAATATGCAGAATTACTGTTTCACAAAGCATCTTAAGGTTATGATGATTGTAAAATCCATGTTACACACCTTCTTACATTTAAGAGGTGTTTTCCAAAAGCATCATAACTGAAGATGTTCTTTTTAACAAGTACCTCCTGACCACTTGTAATCAGCTAAGAGCATGTTAGGACAATGTGAAACATGGGAATAACCATAAAATACAGATTTTATTCATGGTTTTATTGTTTTTGTTCATTTTTAAGGGTAAAGTTTTATCGTGAACACTGTTTTACATAAGTAAAATGTGATGAGAAGTTAAAGATGTAAAACTCTCACACACACACACACACACACACACACACACACACGCACACACTGTACATATTAAGTTAGTGAACAAGTGAAATCTGCCAGTGTCTGTTATCTTCTCTCTCATCTACACAAACATGTCTGTACCTGCAATTAGTTTTAATGTTATTCATATAGCCTACATACTGTACATATGACATCAGTCACATCTATAGATTTATGAAGCTTGCCAGTTATTTCTAGTCTCGCCACCTCCTCTTGAGGTTTTTTGAAACACCAAACATGCTTACTTCAGTTGTGTTTGTTGCTTACAGCTGTTATTTCCAGAGTTTAATAAATCCTTGCATCCACCACACAGCAGCACGACTGACATGCAGTTCCATAGTTAGAGAAGGGCTTTATGCATTTACACATGTGGCACAGCAGCTGTTGCCTCATTTTATATTTATAACTATGAGTTATGAGAACACGTTGATGTGATCGGCAAAGATCTAATGGTAACTGACGTTTATATTTTGTTTTATTCTTACTTCTACACTTCAGACATATAAGCTGTCATATACTTTATATATTCTACGCTAATATAATCTAACAGAGGTCATCCACCCTGAAAATTCTCCTTTCCAGTATGAAATTTAATGCTAATCAGCACCTAAACATTCAGACCAGTGTACCGTTCACCATGAGCACTCCACTTCACTCAGTAACATTAATCATTAAGGGTTAGTGAACTGAAAGTTGTAGACTTCTAACTGTACATTAAGCATCATTTGTAAACTATTCTAAGTATAAAACATTTCTCTGGGTTGTTTACAACACTGTTTTGTGATTTATGTATTTGTAAAATGTCTTATAAATATGCATCATCTTTTTCTTTAGCACCACTGACGGCTGACCTTTAGAAAGTCTTGACTGCGCACACTTGTTGTCCACTGTTTTGTGAAACTTGTTCATAGACATGCTTATAGAAAACCCCCTTAACTTCTAAGATCAACTGTTATCTGGAGGCAGCTCGTGTCTTTGGTTTCTTGACACATCATAAATCGAAAATTAAAGGGAGAAAAAGATGATTGAACTATAAATATGAAATGAATCGCAATTTCATCTCTTGTACATGAAGTGGGATTCTTCAATGAATCCAAGGCACTTAGCCGTTTTAAGGCCTTTTACATTTTTTAAGAATAAAGTGCCTTGGAATCATTGAGCTGTGCCTGCCCTCCCCTCACTGCTTTACTGAATGTGTGGATGCATTATCCAGTGAGCATTACTGTAACTCTGCATTGTGTTACTTCAACCTTTGGCTGTGTTCTCTGTCAGCAGTCTCTGTAGTGCTCCTTCAAGCACAACAATCCCCACTCAGACTTCACTAATGTGAGAACACTCTGTTCCCATTAGATAACCTCCATGACACATTCTCCACAGCCACGGTTCATGGCCAAAATGGATGAAGACAGACAAAGCCTATTATGATGTTTTATTTGCGGCTCCAGTCTCTCCTTCACTCTGTCTCTCTCTCTCAACTGAATGTGATGACTGTAATGCCCCTTCGCTAGTTATTAGAAATTCATTTCTAGTATCCAGTTTGCACACTTGCTACTCCCTGACACTTATGCCTCTGTGCCCCAGAACGAAGCAGTTCATGAGCAGAACAGAACAATACAAAACAGAGCAGATCAGTATAGACTATGTGATTTGTAAATCTGTGCTCTCTGCTCTAAAGAAAATTAAGTCGATTGCTTCAAGTTAAGCCTTTGTCCTCTAAGTGAAACCTATTGGATTGACTGTAGCAACTAATTGTAGCTAAACAGAGTCTCATGCTGGTGCTTTCTGAAGACTTTCTCGACATTTTGGCTAAGGTTAGAATATTATAGGTAGCAGTTAATTTCTGTAGTTTCAGCCATGCTAGCAGGGATGGAAAAGCTGGTCTGTCCAGTTTGAAATACTGGATCTCAACAACTACTGGTTTGATTGGCACCAAATTTTGGTAACACTTTATTTTACAGGTCCACTATTTCCTAAGAATGTTCTGAAAGTTTCCAGGAAAGAAACATGTAGCTTAGTACTAATTAAGGGAAAATAGAGACAAAGTTCTGAGACGGTTTTTGATAGTACACTGAGTTGTGTTGACTTCATGAATTATTGCCTTCCAGATGAATTTCCATCAAAGACATTGCTCATTTTAAACCTCAGTTAACATTTCCTATTCATTTATAACTGGAAATGTTATTCTTCATTTATGCTGATTTGTGTGGTAGTTTGCAGAACAAATTTTACTCTTTGCATGTGTAGCTCGCCTTCTCTCCTCTGAAGAAAAGCCTCAAATGTGTGCTAGCTTAGCATGTAGAAATAACTAGCAGCTTACCAAGTGATCGCTCTCTAATTAGTACCTAATTATATGGTTACTTTTTATCTGAAAATAACCTGGAATTTTCAGACCCGTAAAGTGTTACCCAAGTTTTCTACACACATTCATGATTCTGTGAAGATGTGTGACATTTGTTGTTCTTAGAGAAATATCTTTACATCTACTGGATACATTACCATGAATTATGTAACACACATTCATGTCCTTTGTGCTGGCAATGCTTGCTGTTCTCCCACAATGCAACGGGCAAAGGAAGTTAAGGAGCTAACTGGTAAATCAGTATACTGTGATGATTAGTGCAGTATGTAGTCCAGAACTGTATAGAAGTGGTATGTGGTATGGATTTGGGACAGAGGTTGTATCTTGTTAAAAGGCACTCTTCCTATATAAGGTTCTTATGTTTATTTGTACCAAACTCAAATTCAAATGCTCAGGTACTCAGAAACCAGTGAGGTACTTCATAACCTGAAAATGCATAGGTAACCTTTTTTTCCTAATGTGTGGGATGGAACGAGCTTGCATATAAATAGGAACATCTGCTCGTCTTTTTATATACACATCAGTAGCCTACCTTTATAATTAAAATGTCTGAAAGTTTCTCTTTCATAAGGGTGATGAGGAAAAGTGAAGTTTAAATGATCTTTAAAAGCATTTAGATGTTTATAAAATTCCAAAAACACACTTTCTGGAGCCAGAATGTTCAAGGAGATATCCACAATTTTTTTTGCCAAAGCCCCATGTATTTTAGGAACGGAATTTAGGGACATTCTTTTTCAAAGAGGAATACATGACAAGAACAGAAATTGGAACTCATCTTGTTTCTCACTGAAGTCTTTTTGCGTTGGAGGTAAAAAGACCCTTCATGAAAAAGCAATTTCTGCTAAATCTCGGTATGCTGCAGTAGGTATGTGTCCTTACCTCTTTGATTCACCCAAGTAAGTGAGGGCTTCTAAACCCCCCAGATGGTCACCGTTGTTAAAAAGGCTTTTAGTATCCAGTCCCTAGCAGATATTCATCTCCCAGATCTTGGCTTGGCCTCAGAGTCTTTGTGATATCAGTGGAGGCCAGGTGATGTGTGAAGGGACAGGTGTTGTAAATGGTTTGAAGAAAACATTTTGTGTGTTTGATGTCTTTTTGCTGCCTTGCGCCTCCATAGATCTGCTCTCCCTCATCTATGTTAATCATTTCAGTTCAGTAAGGTGCACTGACCTGGCATCACGTGTAAAAGCAAAAAGAAAAGAGAAACCCTTTTTTATGTCTCTCTCTTTCTGTCTCCCATTTCTTTCTTAATTAACATGATGAACGCTAAGTCCCAGCTGCATCTCTCTCTTGCCCTGTTGATTTTTCCAGCTTTGACATCAGCAAAATTGTATTTCCAATTTTGATCTCCTAATATTTGTCAATCATATATAATTTATTCATTTGTCTTGTTTATGTCTGCTCAAATTGCCTGTTTAACAAATAGAATGTGCTCCACTGCACAGTTGGCACAGTTGGCAGTAACATCTCCACAGCACACTAACAATGCTCTATATTAGTCCCAACCAACTGAAATCATGTGATATTGTTTTATTTTCTGGCAAGGGAGCAGTGACATGCGTACACTGAGATATTCTAGCTTAATACATCTAACTTTACACAATACGACTCATTGCCTGTGCTTCTCTTTAAAATCTAAAGTCTGCTCCCAATTGTTTTCCCTTCTTTTTCTCTCTCTGTCTCTCTACCTCGCCATGAGTGGATTTATCTCCCATTGTCGAAGGAGGGTTTCAAACATACAGTCGATAATAATTCATGTGCCAAATCCAATACATTTCAAATAAACCAGGGTGAGTCAGAATAAATCCTGTTTTGTGGCGAACACAGCTGGTGTGAAATGCTTTCACAAAGGCAATGGCAAACATAATGTTGTTGTCTCGGTTTTCATTGATTTTTGATACAACACGTGAGGCTTTATAACATCCACCCGCCTTCATTTCATCATCTTCATCCTTCAGCTCATTTCCACACTGACACTGCAACCACGAACTGTTGTCCTCATTTCAACAAAATATATTAATCTCTCTGTTGTTAAGTAATCTCTGTGTTCACTTCCTACCTGCTAGTCTTCAAATGCTTCCTTCAAGAGGGGCAGCAGAGGAACAAGACATCATTTATATTGCACAGTATCTCATGGAGAAGCCGTTGATCTGTGTGTGTGCATTTCTGTTTTGGAAAATAAGTGGTGGAGTGGGATGAACAGCACGGTTTCCTTTGATTTAATTGTTATGTATGTTGTCTTCAGGGGTCCATAGAGGAGCGGCTGAAGCAGCTCCAGGATGCGCATAGAGACTTTGGCCCCGGATCACAGCACTTCCTTTCCAGTAAGAGTCTTCTTCTGCTATTTGAAGTTAGTGCCTCATGTCGTACCAATCTGTTCCATGCTGTGCCAAGGCGCTGCCTCAGAGTGTGTGTGTGTGTGTGTGTGTGTGTCAGAGAGTGTGTGTGTGTGTGTGTGTGTGTGTGTGGCGGGGGGGGAGGGTGAAAAGAGGGTTAGGTGTATTAGAGTTTTGTTGTGATAACGCTGTTAAACACTGCCTGCCTGCATGTATATCTAGGTTAGAGGTGGAGCTGGCAGATTTTGTTCATCTGTCTTCATCAGTTCCAGCACACTGTTGTGATGAGCATCCCCAGCGCTGCTCATCACAACAGTCATTGCACTCATTTGCGCTGAGATTCATATTTGTGAATCCCATCTCTTCTTTACCCGCTGCTCTTCAAAGGCTATAGAGCTAGCAGGGGGGCTGAAAATGTGATTTTCTTTGCCTAGTTTAGACTGATGAAGAAGTGGAAAAGCTGCATGCTGCAGGGCTCTCTGTGTGAGTGTATCTACAGGAGCTGTGGTGTGTGCTTCTGTGTCTCCAATGTCCTCACCAACTCCATCCAGTTTTACTGCTGTCATGCTGGTTCAGAGATGCCACACTGGGGCTTATACTTCACTACCAACTCAGTCCACTGTACACTGCAGGAATGTCTGGGTTTGCACTTGTGTATTTGATTTTTTCAGTGCACCAACATATTTCAGAATGTCGTTAGACATAGCACATAGTAAATATGATATAGTTCATATGGTGCTTATTACAGATAAGTAAATGTATTTGTGCTGTGGTGCAGTGTAATATACATTTTCTCCTGCACTATACCATTTGTCCATTTCAATTTTATGCTACTTTACTATGTTTCAGAGGGACATGTTGCACTTTTTACTCAGCTGTCATTTTCAAATTACAGTTATACATTTTAAAACTGTTGAGTTTATAAAATACAACCCACCAGTGGTTCACTACTTTTTTGGTTTGTGACCCCTTATAAAAAAGCAATGTTTGACTGGGGCCCTTTTTGTGTGTTAGATGTCTGTTATTTCTACCACTCTTCTTTTCTCTCTAGACTTATGAAACACAACTGTTTGAAGCATAAACTGGCAAAACTCTTCAGTATTGCCACCAAAAACACAATTTATTTGCTCCAGAACTTTTTTTCTTCTTTCCTAACCCATTATCTCATGACCCTCCTCATGTATCTTTTAAATCTGTAGAGGGGCCCTGACCCGTTGGTTTGGATCAGATGGACTAAACCACAAAGTTAAAATAAGCTCCACCTTGAAAAGGTGCAAAAGTAAAATGCTACTTATGCAACAGATGTGCATCGTATTAGTATTAACAGTCTATTAATATGATATACCTATATATCAACATTTCAGTCACAGACTTTTCTGCATAATGAGTACATTTACTTTTGATACTTAAAGTAAATTTTGCTGTCAATACTTGTGTAATACTGAATGCAGGACCTTTACTTGTAGTGCAGTAGTTTGACATTGTAGTCTTGATACTATTACTTAAGTAAATGATTTGAGGGCTTCTTTCACCACAGGATTTGTGGGTCTACTTTTGTCTTTGTACACGTGTATATATTTTTTACATATACAGAGCAACAACATAGTCTGCACTGTGCCATGTCATTATATAATAATGGACCATGTGTATGGTTGCGTATACCTTTGTATCAGTGTGCCCATGCGTCATCCTCAGCTGAACCCCCTGTGTTTCAGCTTGGATGCTGAGTAAAACGCTGCAGTCGCTCTGTCTCACTGACTCCTCTACCTTGCTGTATTTCTATTAGGCTGTGCCAAACAAGCCAACACTCTGTGGAAACTAGACACTTGTCTCCTTGGTTTTACTGCACATGTTGTACAGCAGAGCAGCTCAGTGGACACACTGTCTGAAACATTGTGAACAATGGCTTTTCATGCATGACATGCCTATTTTGAAATTGATTTTATTTTCTGTCAGGTTCAGTTCAGATTCCGTGGGAGCGTGCCATCTCGCCGAACAAAGTGCCCTACTACATTAAGTAAGTACAACTTATGGGTTTCTTTTTTCGCCCGAGATTATGCCGGACCATAATTTATTCCACTGCTCCAAACAAACCTCTAAAGAAATGCCCTGTTGGTAGTATTATTCAAAAACTACTACTGTAATAGGCTGGCAATATTCCGCTTTTCTCCAGTTGTGATATCCCTGTAACAGACGATTCAAAAGAGCTTGTCCAGATGGTGACATACTGATGAGCATCAAGTCCACTGAGAGCGATTAAACAAAGGAAAAATAAACAAATAATTTCTTATGCAAGGTTTCTTTTATTTAGTCTTTCTGATGATTATTACTGTACCATCATTTACTGTAGAATCCATGTTAGAGAAAAGAGGAACTGCTGTAGGACTTGCTGTTAGATTTTAATCCATTTGCATTTGTTACAAAGGTCAACATAGGTTATTTGTTAGCATCCAGTGTTTTACTCTTCCCATGTAAGTTTAAACTTAAGATCTTTGTCAGCTGGCCTTCATTGTTTGTTCTCATTGTTGAACACTTTGCTATTTCTGTAAAGCTGTTGAGGTTTCAATTTAGTTTTAGGCAATTAAAGTCAAGAAAGGACGTTTTCAGAAATAATGCTTGATGCCTTTCTATTATTTACTTTCCTACAAAGGGCAGTAAACAGAAAACCTACATCATATCAGTTTTTGGTGTGAGCACCCTTTGCCTTAAGAGCAGCATCAGTTCTCCTTGGTACATTAGTTTTTCAAGGTTCTTGGCAGGTAGGTTGTTTAAAGCATCTTGGAGAACCTGCCTTCTTTCCTCACTGAATTTAGGCTGTCTCAGTGTCTTCTGTGTCTTCATGTAATCCCATCTGACTCCACAATGTTGAGATTAAGGCTCTGTAGAAGTCCTTGTTCTTCTTATTGCTGAAGATATTTATTTATGTCTCTGGCTGTGTGTTTGGGGTTGTTGTCATGGTGCAGAATGTATTTTGGACTGATCAGACGCCTTTCTGATGGAGCTGCGTGATGAATAAGAATCACCTGAACTGCCTAAAACTTATGCACACACAGTATTTTCCATCTCGAAAGTGCAAAATCTGCCCCTCATCTAGTTTAATCCCCGGCTTAACTTTGCTTATCACTGCCTCTTAAAGACCATCTGCTCTGACCAGATCGTTTTTTTCAGTGTACAAATGTGGCATTCGTTCAAGCAAATTTAACACCAGTATAGAATTATCCTTCATCGTCCTTGGTTTAAATACAATGTGCCTCACATTGTCATTGATCTTTCTATTGCCCAAACATTTGCACATTGAGATCCCATTAGAGCAGATAAATATTAAATGAGGAAGTAGAGAGAGAGGAACCTGTAGAGCTTCTGTGAACCCTGTTTGCCTAAGCACTCATCTGTTTGTCTATTTACTCCATCAATACTGTTTCACCTTTAGAGTGCTGCTGGTTTTCTGAATGTATACGTAGGTGTGTGTTCACTCCTAGAAGAACGGTATTTTTATGTGTGAAAGTTTGTAATTGTGCACGCGTTGTTACAGTGTAGTGCATGAGTATTAACTTTCTTAACCATTTGCAACAGGCCCTCTTGGGTCCTGTTTTGGTCTGCTAGTTTATTCTTATGGACCATATTACTGCACCAATGGGGATGGGTGTGGTATTTGAGTACCACTGGGTAGCAGTCAGTGAGCACTTGTAGGGTTAAAACAATGATTGCTAAAAGGCCCCTGGGTCCTGGACGACTTTCTACTGTGGGGTTTCTTATATATTTTGCCGCACTTGTCTTTTTTATGGGATTTTTTTTGTTGTTGTTGTTGTTGTCATGGTGCGTTTTCTGAATGGACCTTTAGAACTAGCAGTGGGAATGAAAGTAATAGTGTGAAAGTATGGTTTATTAATGTGTGTTTATGGGTTGTGATTTCAACCTTTAAAGTTACTGACAGGATATCACCAGTAGCGCAGTACTGGGACGTAACTTCGATGCCTGCATGTGAATCCTTTATCATGTTTGACATACAGTACCAGTATGTCTGCACTTTCCAGTGCAAACAGTGGTCATTATATCCTGTCCTCTCATTTTTGTATTTCTCACTCACTCGCTATCCTCTCATCTCGCTCCTTTTACCATCCACCACACCTGTCTGTTTCTTTTCCCTCAGCCTGTAAACCTGCACCTCCAGTCTTGCCTGCTTCACAGTTTCTTCTGCCTTTGCTTCATTTTTGTCTCCTCTCAGCCATCAGGCCCAGACAACGTGCTGGGACCATCCAAAGATGACAGAGCTGTTCCAAGCGTTGGGTGAGTATGGAGACAAGTAAAGCACCCTCCCAGTCATTTTCATTCACACGGGATCCCCGCTGGGTTACAGCAGCACCAGCAGCGTCTGCTTTGAAGGCCCTGTCATAAAGCCCATTAAGTGCACCTTAGGGACTACTGTCATTAACCTACGAGGCCCAGTTTGCCAGCACTGTGATTGCTTTTTGCTTAGCCTTTAATGAATTGTGATTAAACAACATCATGTGATTTACTGTTAATCTCATCTGACATGGGAAGCTTTCAGGGAGAGAGGGGCACGCTGTCACATACACATGCTCACCCAGACACATACATGGATGTGTACAGTCAATATTAGCAGTACAGCACGTTACTAATGACTTACAAGCAACAGTGTGATAAACAGGGTAAAGATAGCATCGTCTAATACTGCGAAGGCAGGCTGGATTTGTTTTCCCTCATCTTTTCATTTAGTCTAATCTCTTTCTATTTCTTTCTCTCCTTCCATTAGCGGATCTGAACAACATCAAGTTTTCAGCGTACAGAACAGCCATGAAGCTGCGGGGAGTTCAGAAGGCTCTGAGATGTATGTACAATATTTCATGAATGTTAGGCCTACTGTGTTTTCTCTCTGCAGGGCTGGAATTGCTGATGAAGTGATCCACTGTTATCCTGCACCATCAGTAATCCACCATGACAAGCTCTATTTGGAAATGAGCTGTAACGATTAGCTGCAGAGCATTTCTTTATTCAGATATTGAAGGAAACATCGCTCCCCTCTACACTACTTGAACGTATTCTCTGCACTCCATTACTATTGACTTTAAAATGCAGAAATCAAAAGTATTGATAAACTCAAGAGCCCCTAGAACCACTCACCCACCAGGTTCCTTCCTCATTTTCATCAGGGCCTGGATCTTTGGCATGTGAGGTAATTAGAGGTTTTAATTGGTCGATTTAAGTTACAAATTAGAAGGCAGTTACTTTTTGCCACATGACTGCCCCATCATGGTCACAGCACTCGGTGTATCCTAATCGGGCTAGACGCTCTTACTATCTGCTCAACTCTCTCACTACTGCTGATCCTTCCATTGTTTTTCTTTATGCCTCACAGTCTTTGCTCTGTGTTTTTCAATATACTGCATAGTTTG